TCCCATATATAGGGAATCTATATTACATTAATTTTATAATTTCTTCTTCTCTGATTACTCTGAATCTAGGAAACATGAGAATGAAGGGAATATATAGGAAAAGAAACACATGTTCTCTGACTCTCTTTCATTCTCTCTTTCACACACACATAGACATACCGAAACATTCATTAGACAATTAATTAATTGGTATGACTTCTCTTCTCTGGTCATTAGACATATAACACTTTGGCAAGCAGTCATGTTTTAGATGGTGAGAAATGAAGGAGGTTTATTTCTTGAGTTGTCAGTTATGTAATAGGTAAAGGTGTTTCAGATCATATTAATAAGACCCGAAAATAATTGCCACCAAAAGATCATCAAAAGATCAAAAGATCAAGTAATAGTGCCCTGGGGAAAGCTTTGAAAAATTCCAGGATATAAAGTGAAGTAAATGCATATTACATATCACATCCTCAATTACATTTAGCCATATTTACAACGTAGTTCATCAGAGGTTTTTCAGTTTGATTCTGTGTAAAATATTCTATTATTCCAAAATACACAAATGTCATGATGTAAATCTGAATGAATGCTTTCCCGTTATCAAATTCTTGGGGAGAGACAAAAGAGCTAAAGTTGAGTTGTCAGGTTAAATTCTAAAGAACTAGCAGTCTAAATTTCATCCTCCCCAATGGCTCCAATAGAACTTCCTTTCGTAGATTCACTCTTTGGCAATTCAATTTGTAATATATTCACTCTTTATCATGATTCTAACTACCTATTAATTTTAAAGAACTAAAACACATATGTGTGTTGTGATATTTATTTTTCAAGCCTTTATCTTACAAGCTACCTTTTTTATTTTTTTAATGGTTTTGAAATTAGGCAAAGAATTAGTGTTTGACACTAAAACCCTTCCAAAGCTTTATTTCAGTCTGATTCTGTTATGGCTTGTGTCTAGATTACCCCCCCACCCCCACCCCGATCCTCTTGCGGTCAGAGGTAGCTGAATCTTCAGTGTATTTTGTCGGGCTCAAGGGTGTGTGATTACAAGATCAGTTTACTGATTGGTTTGGCACCCACCCTAAGCCTGGTATCCTATATAGAAGATGAAAGAGGTAAACAGAAGCTTCTAAGATCACTTGGACTTGCTTCTTCACTATTTTGCTGCTTTGCTATCTTCTGCCCACCATGAATTATTTTTCCTCTCTGATACTCCTCTGCCATGGCACTCTGCCTTGGAGCCAGTCAATTATGGACTAGAACCTCTACAAACTGGGAGCTAAATAAACCTTTTCACCTTTAACTTTGGGTTCCAGCTTTGTGTCAGCAGCAAGAAAAGTAATTTAGTCTCCATTCCAGCGACTGAATGCCATACTTGCCAGCTAATTTTTAAATTAGATTTTGGCTAATGATACCTTAAAGAATGGTTTCTGAGTAACATCAAAATTTTTAAGACACAAATAAATACCTATTTAACAGCCAAGTAACTGAAATTATGACACATAGTGAAGAAAGTTTCCTGGAAATGTCAATATTATCTAATATTCACAAATCATCTTTTCTATTTCTGTTTATGAGCTTTCTTGCAGTTTCCAGGAATTCAGAAATTTGATGTTAACAATTTGTGAACTACCCAGAAATTTACTACACGCTGTATTCAATTTCCAGAAATGTGTGTTGAAATAAAAGCAACAAGAGCAATGAGAAATAAGAGATAGCTAATAGATTTGTAAGACAAACCAGGGGAACAAGATGGTTCCTAGGGGATCTGACTGGAGTAAGGACTATGAGATTAGTATTCTTGATTGGTCACCATATTGGTTTGGGCAAAATGAAGTGGGCCTTGACAGGTGACAAATTAAGACTTCATATGTCTGATAGGAGAAAGTAATCCCTAAGCATGAAGTCTCTTATTTGAGAAAAGTGAAGCCTACGGTTCACTTCATTGTGTGGGCTGTCCCATTGAGAGTGTAAGAAAATCAGCAAGTACGTGTTAGTAGCAAGGTTTGATTGGTATAGGAAGCTGCAATAACCAGTGGACTACAACTCATTGTTTTCATTCCAGGTACAATAGAGTAATCTGAATGTTCATCAAGAACTAGACTGAAGCACAGTCAGACAGAAAGAACCAGTACAGGAGTCCACATAATTGGTAGCTCACTGGGTACAGGGAGGCTTATACTCAGCCCTGGCTAACAGGGTACTGTGTACCATATTTAACTCAAACTTGACCACTGGAGGAGGTAGAGCATACATTCAGAACTGACTCAGAGGCTTGGTGGGTAGATTGGCAGATGAGAAACATCAGTTGCCTTTACTAAGTAGTGCTGGAAACAAGAGAGTTTGGTTTATCTCAGGATCACTGTGGCTATGGAAAAAGTGGTATATTGCCACAAGTGCAAATTGAATCTCCAGAAGCATAAAACAAAAAATCTTATTATCTTTAAGGAAAATTCTGTGTGTTGATACATACAAAAAATAAAGGAGAAATAATACCACAAACTACTTACTTAGTTTTATATTATATCCTCACTTTTTAATTTATTTATCTTTCCTATTTGCTATTTTTAATATTTCCCATATCTTATTAGAATGTCTTTGTCATTCTTAAAGTGTTTTTCCATGTGAACTTTAGAGTCCATTAACTTCATCTTATGTGGGGTGTTGCTAAATGTACGTATTAAAGGAAGTGACACATTTATAATATTGGATCTTCCTATCCAAGCATATTTATTCAAAACCACTTGTCAGCCTCTAGCATTCTAAAATTTCATTCACAGAGTTCTTACACATTTTTTGTTAAGCTTTATCAGTCTGTTGCTTCTGTCAAAGTATTTTTTCCATTATATTTTTAACTAGATGATTCTTAACTATATTTTTTCAATTATATGCCCAGGGACTTAAAGTAATTTCCTATAGTTTGCAGCAAGCACATCAGCGAGAAGAAATGAGAATTGAGTTTGGAAAGGTGAGAAAAAGTAAATTATATCTATTTGAAAACATAAATTTTATACCATAGGCAAAAAGAAATCTTGAAATTATTTTAATAAAGGGCTTACATGACCAGATTTATATTTTACAAGATTGTGCCTTGTTGCCAGTAGGAAAAATGGTTTATTGAGAAAAGACTGAAATTAAGAAGATATGAGAGATGTGCTAAAAATGAGGAATGAAGAAGGGCTGGACCAAGACAGTGATATTAGGAATAGATAAAGGAGACATAAACTGTGTTTTTTTATGGGGAAAAAAAATTAACAAGCCTTCATCCCTGATTTGGTAGATAATGGAGGAAAGGAGAAGAATTTGTCAATGAAAGAGAAAACTATCTGTATTGAAAAGAGTCTCTATAAAGCCTAGGAAGGAAAATATCAACAATGACCTAAGATACAACAGAACATGAGAAATAAAATACAGAATGCTATTGAACTATCAATAAAATATTAGGGTACTCACTGATTCTAGACCTTTAGTCTTGCATATGTAGGTAACCAGATTGCAGCAGGCTAAGAAGAAAATGGATGGCAGGAAAAGAAACTAAGACAATACAGAATTATAGTTTCATGAATTTAATCACTGCAGAAAATAAGAAATGTAATGATATCTTAGGGGTTACCAAAGATAGAAGAAAAGGATGCTTTTGTTTTTATTTTTGTTTCTGTTTTATAATACATGAGGCTGGAAGTCACCTATTTGTATGTGAATGCAAAGTAAAAAGAAGATGTAGGGAATCCTTGTTGTTCCTGGGGATACAACACAAGTGAGATCCTGGTACAGTTACAAGAGATATATTAGAAACAGGTACAGGTGGAAAAGATTGTTTCTTTAATTGACCGTGATTTCTAGAAATAATACATTACAAATAGGACACAGAATAAAATGCAGTCAATTTAATCATGGTTTACAAGGTATAACATTTTATATTTGTAAATTAAGATTTCTTAAAACTCACAATTATTTTTAAAATTAGCCATTATTTTTCCATAGGGTATATGTTTTCTCTATTCTCCTTTCTTTCTTATTTCCTACAAAAACAAGCAATACAAGGATACTCAATTTACACAGCAAAATTATTATCTCCACTTCTCATGCTTCCTTCTCTGTTTTAATTTATTTGTTCAAAAGTAATGGTAGTTAAGTTTAACATTAGTAAATTTAATGGCAGTTAAGTTTAATATTAACATCTGTGATAAAGGCTATCTTCTCACATCTTTTATGATTGTTTAATTCTGTCCAATGCACACTATGTAGTCACTCAACATCATCAGCCTTTCATGTGTACTTTTTTGGATTTTTCATTTGTTCAAGAAATATTCTAAGACCTTGCCATATAATATGTATTTCATGAACTGGAAGCATCAGCATAACCCGGTAATTTGTTAGAAATGCAGGACCTTAGATTCCACCCTACACCTACTAAATTAGAATCTCCTTTTAAACAGTACCTCAGGGTGGTATTTGTGCCATATGGCCCTTAAAGCTGAGAAGTACTGATCCAACAGAACTCACTCATTATTTGGGGTAATACAGTACTGATGGTGCTGCAAAGATAAAGAAAAGCAACAAAGCCTTTATAGTCCTCTTCACAGATATTTAGTTACATTTTGGCATCTGAAATTGTAATTTTAATGTGAAATTTTAAAAATAATAACATAATTCAGTTAAGATTTTCTAAGGACTGAAATAGAAAATTGTATTACTCTGTTTAAATAGGCCATCAAGTACACATTTCTAAAGACCACCCTTTTGTGTTTATTTCACATCAAAAAGACTTGAAATTATTATCAATAAATTTGTTCAAATTGCCCTTTAGAATTCCAATATTCCTGTAATTAAATATCAGAAAGTGTTTGAAGGAAGACTTAACATGAGAATGAGGATCTAGGTGTCACACAATATTTAATTTGCACAATATTTAATTTGTACAACCATAGTCAATGAAGTGTGTAAGGAAATGCTCCTATACTCCTGATTGATTCTACAAGATTCTGCAATTTTAACAAGATGAAAACATCTCCTTATACTTTAAGAATTGTATCAGTTGTGTTTTGCTGAATAATAAACAATGTCAGTGTCTCTGGGGCTTAGCTTACAACAGCAAACATATTCTCCCTCATGTGCAGATCTGCCACAGGTCCTTTGATCTGAGTTGGGCTCAGCTGGGTTAGGCAAGACTCCAGGCTTCCTCTGGGCTTCAGGTCTTCTCCATCTATCTTCATCCTGGGACCTTGGGCAAAACTGATATTGTGGGATGCTTGTTAAATCTTGGATCACAGGAGCACAGGTGTTTCTTTGTTAGCACAGCAATGCTTTTTAAATCTTCTACTGATAGTTTTGCAGTGTTCCTTTAACAACATTCAACTGACCAATGCAAGTCATTTCACCCTGCCTCAAATCAATGGACCAGGAAAGTATATTCCACCCATAGTAAAAAGTGCTGCAAACTTTCATGGCAAACAATGGATGTAGAATCCCAATGCACAGAAAAAAGGAATCCAATCAATACTAGAATAACTAGCTTCACACTTTTATTATATTCGGCATGGCTTAGATGCCCTGTTGGGCCATAAGCTTTCTAAAAGAAAGGTCAAAACACAAGCAATCAGTCCCAAACTTCCCTGAATTCCACAGAAAGTATGGATTAAATTCATTTTGTTGGATGCAGTTGAGAAACAAACTTAAAAGAAAAATAAAAGTATTGGTGAATTCTTAAAACAACTAAGATTTGAACATTAGATTTCATGTATTGAAAGTCAATCTTCAGGATAAATAATCATCAACAGTGGTTGTCAGTCCATTTTGTCTATTTCATTAAATGTTTTATGTAAGCATTTCTATCCATTTACAGTACTTTTCCTTAATTATTTTTGTTATTATTTTGAGAATTAATCAACTTGTATAAAATGAACAAACTACACCCACGTTAAATCTTCTAGAGGTACTGGAAGGATTATGTAAGTAAAGAATTTAGTATAGTGTTGTGTACATAATTAATGCCCCCCCAATAACATCAATCACTTCTCTTTTTCCAAAGTATATGTTTGTTTTATTTGACAAAATTTTTCAAGCAATGTTAAACTATTTCATGGAATGCTACTATTATTTGGGCCTACTTTCTACAAAACTTTTCTCTTAGCAAATTGGAAAAAGACCTTATCAAATTTAAATATATTATTTTACAGACCAAGATGTGCATGCTATTTAATTCTATAATGACTTGATCAGGTCAAAGGATGCCCAGACCGGTAATAAAATATTATTTATTGGTGTTCTTCTAAGGTTCTTAAAGAGATGAACATGTTAATCAGTGAACTAGGTTAAGAATATCTGCCCTCATCAATGCAGTCAGGCACTGTTCACTCTATTTAGGGCCTACATAAAACCAAAAAAAGTATAGAAGGGCAAATTTCGCTCCTTCCTTAAGACAGACGTTCATCTTCTTCTTCCTTTGGATATCAGAGCCCTTGATTCTGGGGTCTATTGTCTCCAGGACTTACACCTGGGCTTCCTCTCCCCCATGGCCAGTTAAGACTGAGATACCACTGGCTCTGCTGGGTTCCACACTTGCAGACAACAGATTATGTGATTTCTCAGTCTCCGTAATTACACGAGCCAATTCCCAAAACCAATCTCCTCTTACAGCTACCTGTCTGCCCACCTATACCTCCTATTGTTTCTTTTTTTCTAGAGAACTCTGATAATAGAGAATTTAGAAGAGAAAATTAAAGAATGTTATTCAACATCATTCAAAATATAAACACTGAGATTAGGATTAGAGTTTGAACATTCTAGCTCTCAATTCAGTGTGTTCCACATAATAGTTGTACTGGAGGTAAATATATATTATAGTTTGATTCTTAATTGTCCCCTAAGGACTATATGTTAAAAAGAAAAGAAAAGACAAGACTTGTTGTGCCAGCCTGTGCGACTTGTGGGAGGTGAGGAGACCTTTAAGATGTGGGCCTGGTAAAAGGACCTTAGTTCATTGGCTCCATGCCCTTGAAGGGAAGATTGGCACTTTGGCTTCTACCTCTTTATCCTTGCTTTCTGGCCGTTATGAAATGGGCAGTTCACCTCTGCCACACACTCCCTTCCATGGTACATTGTGCCCTTTATTAACCAACAAGTAAAGGCCAATGAAAGAGAATATACAAAAGAAGTCTGACGCCTTCTTCCTCATTGTGATGTCCCAGGTCAGATCACAGCAGGAGGAAGTTTGACAGGGCAGTGCCTTGCTTCTGGTATTTTGTTTAATCACAGACAAAATTTGTGGAAATTTTTCTTGTTGACAGCAAAACAAGGAGTTACAGATTTTTAAGTCAATAAATGGAAATAGATCTTTGCACAGCCTAGTACATCTGTGTGGCATATATTCTTGAAGCCATTTCTTTTAAGTATTAATTCAACTTGAACATTCATGTATCCTCAGGGGAATTATAATCATAAATTTCCCCCATAACAATATTTCAAAATTACACAGTTTCCAGTTCTCTTGATGTTCATTTAATTCCCTCTTTTAGATAGTCTGAGGTACTAGATAGACAGGTGTATATTTTCTAAGAATGACTGTTTAGAGATGGAATACTCCATATGTGATGATGATTTAACTAAAATCTTAGGGTAAAATTTTTTTAAAAGTTTTTATTTGTGCTGGATAATGAAAGTAGATACCTTTAAATGCTGAAAATTTAAAATCCTTAGGTCATTATGTGCAGTTATTTGCAGAAACTCAGGTCCAGAGGAAGAATATTGCCTTTACATGGAATTTGTGTTATCATAATCTTTTGTATAGCATCAGTTTCTACAATTTTTGATTATTTATATAACAGAAACTTTGTAAAAGATCCCTTTAGAGACTGCCTGAACTGAAGATATGTTCAAAGAGGAGAATGATACCTCATCATTTTTCTGTTTTGACAATGACCAAGCAGTTCATATAGAAAGGTAGGAAGTCTGAACTTTGTGGTACCTTTTTTTAAACAAATCTTATGAATTTTGTAGTTCTGGTAACAGTATATTCCATTGCCTCCATTTTTTCTCTGTAATGTACAACTAATAATAAAAATTGGGGTCCAATTGGCCATTTTTTTCTTGATTTTCTATAGAGAAATGAGGCATTTAACTGGCCTATCTTGGTTTTCATTTTAACTTTCTGCTTCAGAAGTCATCTTACATTTACCGCTATTTTGGACTTGCCACATCCACAGTGAAAATGAGAATCACTACTGTACCACCATGGCAATGTGGTACAGCTCAAGAGAGTCTTAAAGTTGTAGTCCTACCTGCATATTTCATAAATCACTTTGATATTGAAGACGAAGCATGCAAAGAGACAGACTAAAAGAGAGCAGACTTGGGTGTGTCAAGTACGTTTTGGGTATGTGTGTTTGTGTGTGTGCCTGTATGTGGTGGACTAGAAAGCTGTATTTTAACTACCAAAAGAAAAGAAATGAGAATAAATAGTTACATATTTTCCAATAAGTGTTTTTGTTTACTCATCTGTTTTGTTTTGTGACAGGATGAAAAGAGAAGGAAGACAGAACCTAGCATATTCTCCTGTTTCTGACCAGGGTTTTCAGAATGAAGCTAAAATTCTTTCACAAAGCTTACAGTAAGCTTCACTGCCTGGTCCTAACAAGCCCTAGCTCCAGTGAAGTACAGCATCTCTGGTCTCACACTTTGGATGTTGGTCCACTTTCATCTTTGTAGGTAGACAAGATGTTGGATCTGATGGCCTCTGTGTATGCTTTTGTGGGGTTAATCCTTCATCACCATGAAGGCTAATTTGATTCTCCCCCAGTTAAGTCTCAGGTCCCAAGATTCAGTCTTTCTTACAAGAGATCAATCCACCCTTGGAAGTTTTGCAATTTTAACTACAGGTGTATGCAGGTGCACAGTCATAGATCACTTTCCCATACCACCTGCCACCCTGTTCCAACTTCTCATGCCCCATGTGACTCTTACTTTCTGGCTCAGTGCTCAGGCTTGGCTTCTTCTGCCACACTAAATGCCCTCCGTATAACTTGGTAGGTCACACTGCCTTCCTAGATTGCCTTCCTCAGCCACCCTGGAATCATATACATAATATTATTTAATTGTATTATGACATATTTCCCTTTCACTTTGCATCATGCTACATATCCACTTTCCATCATATTATATTATTTTACAATATGATCTTTTGCCCACCTTCCCAAGAATTCCATCCATCATCCTGACAGATGTTCCAGTGAGGTCTAAGCAAACCATAATGTTTTATTCTCTGGTTTTCCTATGTTTTCTGAAGAAAGGAAGGAAATCTCTGTCCTTATCATTTCCAGACAGGTAGACTGACAGACAGTCAGGCATACACATGTGCCTGACACATGTGCCTGAGACACACACGCAGTATACTCCATCCAGCAAAATCCTATTCCAAAGACAAAGTGAGGTACAAATTTTGCCCCCTAATTGGATCATTTACCTCCATGCTATCCCTAAACACCCCAACACAATTATTCTAGCCTCGCCCTAGTTTTAATATTTTGTTCCTGTAATGAACATAGTAGTTTCTAAACACTTATTCCTGAGTATTTATACATTCTTTGCTATAAAGAATTTGATAAATATTGCAAAAAATATTTATGTGCCTCTTTATATATTAAAAATATTTTTATATGTAAGAATTTACTACATTTGTAGTGTAATGCTGTAGAACACATTTTTGAGTCAGTAAAGCCCAAGGTGCGGTTTGATAGTCATATCAATATTGGTTTTTATCATTCAGAGTCTTTTCTTTCTTTACAAATTCTAAGAGAAATATGCTTGGACTCCTCTTTCACTGACTTGATTCCTAACAATTTTGAAACCCTAGAATCTGCATGTCTGCCCGGATCTGTAGGTACTCCAGAAAGTAAAATCTTATTGTCTGTTAGCTTAAAGTGAAAAACTTACTACTTAATTTCTCCTCTCATAACTATCAGTAAAATAAAAGGGACACTGAAGGAACATAGAACTACATTTTTTTCAAATTTTCCTTATTCATTCTTAGGTTCTTACTGAATCTTTAATTTTTCTTTTTTTGTTGTTTTATTTGCTTGAAACAATGCTGATGAGCCATTCCCTTCCTATAAAATTTCTTTCTCAAATTTTACCATCTTAGGTATGAATTTTTCTGCTCCTTGTTCTTTATACTCTAGGATTCTAAATGCATTGGTCATTATCCAGTTTTTTTACTCACTTTGTTTTTTGAAAGACAAATAGATATAGATAGAGGTCACACCATTCTTTGTTTAGTAGGAACTCATCTCTACCCTTGTACCATATTTTAGTCTTTTGTACATTACCTAAGTCTGTTTTATATCTCAGCTCTCCAATTATCCATGAATGTTTTCTTCATGAACCAAACAAGAGGAGCATAATAAGTACATAATGTTAATATATCACATTTATCATATTTATCACATTTTTAATATCTCTTTCAGCTTGTATTATTGCTCCAAATTGGAAAGGGATAACATTCAATTTATTTTAATTTAATTTTTACCATATCTAGAGGTTTCCTGACTTTCTTAACCTGAAACTACATTATCCAATTCTGACTTCATGAACCCTCTGACCTAAAGCCAGTCACATACCTCACATACCTCACATACCACATACCTTGATTTATGAAGTTCCTAAGGGCAATTCAAACATTAATGTACAAATGACATCTAAGGAATCCTCCCTCTTCTAACAGGAAAGACAGTGGATTGTTCCCCAGGGCACTGTTTGATGTCAGTGACAGCACAATGGCCCAAGTGTCTTGAGGGTTTTTTGTCATCCAGTGAGGTATCTTCACATAGCACTCCATGAAAAGCTTCCTGTAGTGCTTTGTCTGGTAGGAAATGCTTTTCCTTTTCCTTATGTGAATCGCTCCTTTGACATTCAAACTCAAACACAATGGATTTTTGCTGGAGTGTTGCCTCAGTAACATGATCATTCTCTGAACTTGACAAGTGGGTTTACTCCTCATAAGTATACACATGGCAATTATGATATTGAAGTGTGTGTGGCCTGAACTTACTGGACTAGTTTCCCTGACATTAAAACAACAGGAACAACGGGTGGTGAACTATTCTTGCAGTTATTTTCTGACACTGATCCAGATTTTTTTCTCTGCCTCATTTACCAAACACGTCTTCCTGAGCCTCCAGGATGGTTATTAGGGCACCTTGCCATTTTTAGGACATTTGGTTTCTGTGTTTTAATACCTGAGCAAATGTTCGGTGTGAAGCAACACTTTCATTTCCCTTAGGGAGCTTCTCCTTTAAATCGATATCAGTTTTCATTTTAGAACATCAAAAACAATTTTTATTATGTAACTCTGCTTGAAAAAGAACAAGGTAATATATGATACGGCTTACATCTAGATTCATCCTTGAAATTCACAAGTGTTAAATTATATTTCTACTCTGCAGCAAAGGAGAAAATAGTTAATTTCTCCTTTACCAGAAAAGGGGCAAACTAGATACTCATTTTCTGCTACATCACTATAAAGTAATGTTTTTAGAAATGCATTTGTTAAATGGATTAAATATTCTAGTTCAATTCTGGGCAAAGTGTTCTAGGGCCAAATTTACAGTTTATGTCAAACCTAATAAAATATGGTAATGAATCAAACATGCATCAACTACAATTTTGCTTATCTAACCAATATCAATTATGTATTCATAAACACAATACAATGTAATTTTGGAAGTAAATAGATAAGTTTGATATATAGTCAAATGCAAATCAAATCAAACTTCTTTAATGAATTTTTGGAGGTTTTCATTTTTTTATTTAGCCTGCACACAGATTCTGATAGTGGATAATTCTTTTTGTGGTCACCCTGTGACTAGCCAACTTCTTTTTTTCCATACAAAAATCTTGCTTTGTTAAAGAACATTTATTAAAAAAGTCTGCATATGCATGATATATTATTTAGTATCCTTATTCTAATGAGAGTGACACAGACCTTGTTAGCTTTGGTTAACATTAAGAAGTGAAGTTAAAGAACATTTTTCTGTTAGGAGTGATCAATCTACACTACTGATATACTAGCCTATCTCATTCAAGTAGATAAAGTAGGCAGGTGCCAGAGAGAGAGGTCCCCAGTGCTGGGACCCACACCCCATCCAGCCCCCACCAAGCACACCGTCAGGGACCAGCCAGAAGGTGAGGACCCTTCACCACTGGCCACACTAATGGCGCCAATGCACTTAGCTGTGCAGGCACCTGCAGGACCACCCCCTATACCCCATCTTTCTCCCCCCCTCCGCCTCTGGTCTCTTGGCTGTACCGCTACCTGGTTCTACATTACAAAGACACAGGGGACACCAGACCACCGTGCTGGGTAAGTTGGAGGGATCCTCACCTACCATCAGAACCTGGACTATCTTCAGGGGAAGGGCAGCTGGAACCTGCAGTACAACCTTGCAGAGTTCAACCCTACAGGAGGACAGGCACCTCAACATGGGACTTGCACCCAGAAATCTGCCTGAATCCCACAGGTCTGCAACTGGCTTGCTGAGATTCACTGATTTATATCTGCATACTGCTGCCCACATTTTCTATTGTGACTGCAGAAATATACCCTGAAGGAGGCCCTTCATTTTCATTTTTATTTTTTATTTCCAAAATTATTATTATTGGGAGGGGGTTTGTTCTTTGTTTTTTCTATCTTTTCAAATTTTTATTTTTCTCTTCTTTTTCTTTCTTTTCTCTTTCCTTTCTCTCACACTCACTCTCTTGCCTTCCCACATTGTTGTTCATCTCCCTTTTTCTTCCTATTATAGCCCTAATTCATATTTCTTCTTTATTTCTCTTTTATTATTTTTCCTTCTCTTGCCTGTGCCCTCTGGCCTCACTGCTAAACTTCCCCTACCCTTCTACCTATCTATCCCTCCCTCCCTCCCCAACTCCTTCTAACTCCCCATCCCAAAGGGTAAAGTTGGTATATTGAAGAGTTTATTCACCATAAACATATGTTGGGTTGGTCCTTGATTTTGATTTAATTCACACAGTTAAAGGTGATAGATTAATAACTTTCAAAAATTGTTATTTTCTAAAATGTACTTGATGCAATGGTGTTGCTGATTGTATCACTTGGACTAAGGTGTTGTGATTGATCTAGTCAGTGGTCCTTCCTGGTGTAATGAAAATGAGATAGCTTCAGAGTCATTAGAGACTCAAAACCTAAGGACCAGGTATATCTGGAAAACACCTCTGAGAAGCAATCATTCCATAAGGATTCTAATTACAAGCTACAAAGATACTTACAATAAGCAATTTCAAAGTATCAACCCAGGAATTCAACCAAGGACAGTACCAAAAACAAAAATGAGAAGACATTTAAGTAAGGCACAAACAGGCTTCCAACCCACCAAGAGTAAATTCTGAGGGAAATGAGGTGGAAAAGTCTGATAATCAACCACCTGGACACCCTGAACTGATAGCACAGGAAGTAACAAAAGAGATGAATGAGGATCTAGAAAAATTCAAAGCAGAAATAATCTCCCAGATAACTACAGAGATGGTGAGCAGAGTGAAAGACATGATTAGAGGCTCTAGAACAGAAACAGATAAAACATAGATGAGCTCAGAAACATGTTAGAAGCCATGAATGCCCATCATAAGAAATAAATGGAAACCATGGTCACCCAACACAAGAAAGAAATTGAATACATGAAACAGATTCAAACATATATTCGGTAGATTAAAAACTCCACTGAAAGTATGCACAGCAGATTAAGGGAATCTGAAGATAGAATATCAGATATAGAAGACAGGATTGTGGTTAAGGACCATGAACACAGAGATTTCTTAAAAATAGTAAGGGACCACAAGAAATCAAACTAGCGTCTCCTAGATGATGCAAAGAAGAATAACATAAGACTGATGGGAGTCCATGAAAAAACAGGAGAAAGTACAATTGACATTAAAAAACTTCACAGAAGTAATAGTTGAAAACTTCCCAGGGAGAGGTAGAGAATTGGATGTACAGATAAGTGAGGCATATAGAACTCCAATTAGCCATGATCAAAGAAAAAATCTATACCTAGACACATAATAGTCAAGATCCCAGAAACTCAATAGAAAAACAAAATTCTACAAGCAGTTAGAGAAAAGAAACAAATCATATACGAAGGAAGGTCCATCAGAATTACAGAAGATTTCTTAAAAAACCCTCATATCAAGGAGATCCTGGAGTGAAGTATTTCAAGCCCTAAAAGAAAACAACATCCAACCTAGACTGTTGTATCCTGCAAAATTATCTTTCAAAATAGATGGGGAAATTAGATACTTCCACAACAAAGAATACTTGAGAAATTTCATGAACACTAAACCAGCACTCCAAGCAATTCTTGACAATATCCTAGAAAAAAAAAAAATGAAGATCACAACTCCATGAGGCCCAACAGAGGGAAGTCACCAGGCAAGGTGAGAAACTAAAGAGAAAGGGGGAAAAATAAGAAATAAAAGAGCCAACAACAGTAAAACATCATGACAAGGATGAGTCAATATCTATCAATTATTACCATCAATGTTAATGGCCTCAACTCACCAATCAAAAGAAATAGACTGGCACAATGGATTAAGAAGCAAGATCCAACAATATGCTGTATGGAAGAAACACACCTAACTCAAAAAGAAATTCATAGACCGAAAGTAAAAGGATGGAAAAAAGTTCTCTATGCCACAGAAACCCAGAAAAAAGCAGGGGTAGCAATCTTATTTGCAGACAAAGTAGATTTCAAACCAAAACTAATGAAGAGAGACAAAGATGGTCACTACATCCTTGTGAAGGGAACAATCCAAGAGGAAGAGATGACAATCCTAAATATATATGCACCAAATACAAATGCCCCCAACTATGCAAAAAAATTATTAATGGACATGAAAAACCAAATAAGCACTAACACAATTGTAGTGGGGGACCTCAATATGCCACTATCAAAAATAGACAGATCATCTAGACCAAAAATTAACAAAATTCTAGAACTGAACCAACCTATTGAACAAATGGACTTAATAGATGTTTACAGACTGATCCACCCCCAGGAAATAAGAATACACATTCTTTTCAGCTGCACACGGGTCATTCTCCAAAATAGACCACATGCTGGCTCATAGGACATGTCTAAGTAAATGTAAAAGAACTGAAGTAACCCCCTGTATATTATCAATCCATAGTGCAATAAAATTGGAGATCAATAACATAAGAAACCGCAAAACCGGTGGGCGTGGCGGCCTCCTGAACTCAAGCCCCTCACTTTGCTCTCTGCGCAGAGTGGTGCCTCCTCGCTCCTCTCCACCAGCTAGGATGAGTGAGCGCCTCCCCCCCCCCAGGAAAAGGAGAAGGAATGGCAATGAAGAAGAAAATCATCTTCTGTCCCAGAGCAAAAGGAGTAGTAGAAACCCTGTCTTTCAGGATTCCTGGGACACAGAGTCTTTGAGAAGTGACAGTGGTGGGAGCAGCAGCAGCGGCACCAGCATCCATAGCCCAGACTGGGGTAGAGGGCCAGAGAGCAGCTTAAGCCAGGTCATGCCCGGATCCAGGCCCAACACTCCTCAGCCCATGCCTGAGCAGTCTGCCCTGTGCCAAGGCACTTACTTCCACATCAACCAGGCCCACTTTCACAGCCTACTGCACCGAGGTCAGCCTCTGACATGATGCACGGGAAGTTTCTTACCTTCTGT